ATANTTAATAATATATATACNTANATATANATATATTAATTATATATATATTATATTAATATNTTAATACTACATACATAACCAACAACAACACATACACTATATATATATATATATATATATATNTAGTATATATATATATATATATATATATATATATATATATATATATATATATATATATATATATATATATAGATATATATATATAGATATAGATATAGATATAGATATAGATATAGATATATATATATATATATATGTATATATATATATATATAGATAAAGATATAGACATATATATAGATATATAAACATACACTATATATAAAAGTACACATCAAGTGTATACTCCAACGCAGGCACAAGCATACCCGGTACAGCCAACTCGCCCACGAGATTGATGAGTTCTTGTGTAGGCCCCACAAAGAAGGGCAATCCCTGCGCATCGTACAGACGTTCACCTGTTGTACTGGTGTGGTTGAGATAGTCGTTGGCCCATAGTGTTTGCTCTGCTGCCTCATACGTGAGTGACTCCAGACCCATCTGCGCTATGGTCAGCGCGGGAGGTGACCATGCTGTGTACAGTACGTAAATGTACGTATTTGTGTTAGTGTATAATATACAATATATAAACTATATATGTTAGTTTGTATAACATATATACATATATATGTTAGTGTGTATAATATATATACATATATATGTTAGTGTGTGTACTATATATACATATATATGTTAGTTTGTATAAAATATATACATATTTATGTTAGTGTACAATATATAAACATACATATGTTAGTGTGTGTATAAATATACACATATATAAGCTAGTGTGTATAATATATACACATATACGTTAGTGTGTATATTATATATACTTATACAAGTTAGTGTGTATAATATATAAACATATTTATGAGTGTACAATATATATCCGTATTCATGGGAGTGGATGTAAACGTGTGGTTGAGATAGTCGTTGTAGCTTAGTGTTTGATCTCCTTCCTCGTGGGTTAGTGCCTAGAGACTCATCTGCACTATGGTCAGCGCCTTGAGGAGCATTGATTGTACTTATCCACCCCACTACACCGCACGTAACACACTCGTACATCAGATGTACATATATAGATCCATGGACCACGTATATGAACTATACACTTACAGTGGTAACACACATCCACCCCACGTAACACACACATACATCCGATGTACATATATAGATGCATAGACCACGTATATGAACTATACACTTACACTGGTAACACACATCCACCCCACCTAAGACACACATACGTTGAATGTAAAGAAAAAGGTACACGAACACACACATACGTTGGTTGTGCACATCCAGGTAGATGGGTACTCCATCTCCATCGGATTGCGCCATCCCACCTTCGAACATCCTCACTGGCCCATTGAACTCGTCGAATGCTTGTGCATTGGTATCCAGCTTCATCCCTTGGCGGGTGGTCACTTCGCCTAAAAAAGGCAATGAGTTACAAATAGAATGAGTAACTTCCTTATATGGATATGGCATCTGTAAGGGCGGGATGTAGAGTGGCCAGGTAGCACTGCTCCCTGGCAGACAGCTGCCACACCTGCACTACAGCACAGGACAATTAAAGAGGAGTGCACGTACACAGATGAGATACCGCACCATCCAATCCAATCCGTCCCATATAATCCTTTGTACACAGACACGCACACAAACGCACGCGTGCATTTTCTACACATACACACATCTTCATTCATCATCAACACACTCTCTCCACATACACATCTGTCAATGTAATACACATACACACATCTTCATCTTCATTCATCATCCACACACTCTCTCTACACAGACACCTGTCAATACACGCAGTTACCATCTGGACCAGAGAATAGGGCGCTACCCGAGTCTCTGTAAGCAGCCATTCCGTTGGGAGTTTTCAGTGGAGTGTATCCCGCTGTTTCCATCGACGCCATGAAGGCAGCCGATAGCATGGGTGGATCTATGAAGTAGGTATGGCGTGGAATGTGAAGGTAGATACGGTATGGAATGTGAGAGTAGGTACGGAATGGAATGTGAGATTAAGGCATGTGAGGGGTTCATCCATGTATTGGTCGGATAATGGAAAAAAGTATAATAAATACAAACTGATAGAAGTGGT